AATGCCAATACCAATACTATATACACTATATACTAATAACTGGTACTAATACTAACACTAATACTAATGCCCATACCAATGCTATATACACTATATACTAATAACTGGTACTAATACTAACACTAATACTAATGCCCATACCAATGCTATATACACTATATACTAATAACTGGTACTAATACTAACACTAATACTAATGCCCATACCAATGCTATATACACTATATACTAATAACTGGTACTAATACTAACACTAATACTAATGCCCATACCAATGCTATATACACTATATACTAATAACTGGTACTAATACTAACACTAATACTAATGCACTAATACCAATACCAATGCTATATACACTATATACTAATAACTGGTACTAATACTAACACTAATACTAATGCCCATACCAATGCTATATACACTATATACTAATAACTGGTACTAATACTAACACTAATACTAATGCCCATACCAATGCTATATACACTATATACTAATAACTGGTACTAATACTAATACTAATGCCAATGCCAATACTATATACACTCTATACTAATAACTGGTACTAATACTAATGCTAACTTTGAGCACAAGCTCTGCTGCAGATGTCACTTTGGATTGACAATAGTTATAAATTTAGTATGACATAATCTCAGATGTAGAAACTGGACTGCCTAACACCATGTGTATCTAGGCACAGGCAAACTGTAACGCTAATAGGATTGTGCAACAGAGAGAAAAATGATCAGTCTTCCTATATGCGAGCGAAGCGAGCAAAGGTTGGCAACGTACTTCCCTCTCTTCAGTTCGAAAAATATTTTTAATATCAAAATAAAATATCGCCACCATCAAAGGTAGACACCCATTTCCTCACAGGATTGTGCCCTCAGATTTCCAACCTCATATTTAATAATTACTCACGTAAAATATATTTCATTGAATATGTTAAGCCCCACTAGTTGCATATCAAATCGTTCTACGCCTCCATTACCCCTGTCAGCTTCCAATTCTCCAGTTCATATCAACATTTTGGAGATGAAGGCTGTTCTGGCTATTCATCACTGGACACTACACCTACAGAACTCATCCATACTTGTTGCCACAGACCCACCATATAGCTGGAATATTGCTGAGTGCGGCGTAAAACCAAACTCACTTACTGTTGCCACAGACAATTCTACAGTTTTAGCTTGCATCAACTGGCTCGGGGATAACCCCCTCTCAGGACCTCATGGCGATCTTTTGGACACTCTCAAGTGAACCATTACTGCCAGACACAATCAAACAAGTCCTAACCAAGATGAGGAATCATCAGATGACACTGACACTGTACTCTCCTCTCACTGCTGAAAAATCAACCTCTTTGTCTGTCCCTCTGGCCAGCTCTACTCGGACATCTGAAGATGCCATTTACAACCTGGAACAGTACCATGTAGAAATGTGGAAACTATCCAACAACATCTCGCATCAGCAGGTTTTTAACAAGATGTGTCCTCAATGCTCAGTCCAAGCTTCAACATCTGCCTTGTATGACTTAAAATGGAACCGACTCTAGCAGTGAATCTTTTTCACGGCACAAAAGAATGCCTTCTGTCCTCACCAAACACGTGAGTCATACATGACACTTACCAGCATGCTCCTTTCCTTTGAGATCAAGAGTATCCTGAGACAATGCTTATCTCAGAAATGAGGTTTTTGAGTGATCTTATCAGGTTATCATCGTTTTGAACCTTTTCCTATGACATTAGAACTATACATGTGTATGGCCGTGGTCGCCTTTATAATAGATCCATCTTCAGTCGTAAATGGAGCACTCCAAGGGTTCATCGCGAAGAATCCAAAGACATTGATGGGATTTTTGGGACTACGATCTTTCACTATCCCAGCTCTTTCCTCTACGTTGGATTGCGAATTACCGAACAGGGTGCTATGAAAAGTTAAAGTACTTGAATGGCATTTGCCACATTCAGACAATCATATTACCAAGAGCATAGTCACGACTTGGATCAGAAAACATTTACATTTTTCTACATGATTGAGGATCAGCCTTCAGCTGATGATCCTTACGTCAACACAAAATAAGATCCTATGCTCTGACACAAGCATCTCCACAGACTCTTTTGCCGGAACAGATCATGTCAACTTGACGATAAGCATCTTTTATACCTTTTATTTGTGGGAGGTTTATCAGGACCTTCAATGACTATTTAGTTTGGTTTCCCAAGTCCATCCTTTGCCAAGGAAAAAATATCAGTTTTTCCCATGCTTTTAATAGGGGAGTTGACTCCCATGATTAGTATTTGGACGGCCACTAGGAAGATACACATCACAAAACAATTGACTATAAAAATTGTATTCATACTAAACATGTGGAATCAGAAACAAGTTTCAGGATAAAATATTTTTTATGAACCTTTTACTGAACCGTGCCTATCACATTGCTGTCAAAAGGGGAAGAAAGTTCAATAACCTTAATAAATAAATTATTATTATTATTATGCTTTACAGATTAAAGATGAAAATGCAGCAGAGAGGGTTCGGGTGATCCTGGCACAGTCAGGCTGGTAAGGCTCATCATCAGCTCAGGGCCCTTGCCCTCTCTACACGCAGCCCAGACAGCGAATGGGACTCTCCCATGAAACGCTGCCAAGTCGAACCCAGCAAGAACTTTCCGGAGAATATGTAGACTCCCCAACACTGCAGCCTTCTGCATTACCCAAAGTGTCAGAAGGGCTGTGCTCCTGGTGGAAAACACGGGCACTCTTCTGATCTGCACCAAGAGATCAGGAGGTACCAAACCAAGGGCACCGAGGACAATGGGGAGCCTGACGACAGTGTACTTGGGATGCAAGCGAGACATTTCAAAGGCGAGGTCCGCATATTTATCATGCTTTTCCTGAATCTTGCCAATCACATTGCTGTCAAAAGGGACAGAAAATTCAATGATATAAATAAATTCATTGGCTTTATCAAAAAGAACAAGATCAGGTTTGTTGACAGGAATTCTTCTGAGGGTGTACATAGGCCTGTTCCACAGAAGTTTGAAAGCATCATTTTCCATGACGCCTTGGACATGTTCAGGGTCGTACCATGGATGGACCTCGGAGTCAAAGCCACAGACACGGCGGTGACGGAAGTAAAAGCAACGAGCCATGCCATCATGTCGTTTAAGATATGCTGTTTGTGCCAAAGAAGGGCATCCACTGACAAGATGTTGGACAGTCTCTGTAAATTCATTACATAGTCGACATTTCATATTGATATTTTCTTTAAGAATCACATTTTGGCGATTACGAGTGGGAAGTGACTGGTCCTGAGCAGCAAAAAGGAAGCCCTCAGTTTCACATTTAAGACCAGCCGACTTCATCCAGGCGAAGGAGTCGGTGGGATTACTATTCTGTTCCACAAACTGCATGTACACACGATGCAATGGCTTCTCAGAAAGCTTCTTCACAAAAGACCGACTCTGGGCAGACTTAGTGAATAACTTCACCTGGTTTACTCCCATCGCTGTACCATCCAGCAGTACAATGCCATCAGCAAAATCAACCTCAAATTTCAGATTCTGTCCAACAACCTTGGCATGCTTAAAATAGCTGTGGAATTCCTTGCTTTCATCATGAGTCTTGACATGCATCACCAGAGGATCATCCGATAAATAAATATGTGCAAAAGTACATAATAAAATTCTATCATGAAGAGCCTCCACATTAATCAAACCCCGACCTCCAGAATTGATTGGTATATATAAACGGTTAAGAGAGGAACAAGGGTGGTGGGCTCTGTTATCAGACATGATCCTTCTGGTCAGGCGGTCAAGACTCTGGATATCTTGTTTTGTCCAATCAACTACTCCAAAGGAAAGGACTGGCACAGCAAAAGTATTGGCGGCTTTGACTTAGTTCGAGCATTTAGCTCTGAGCCCCAGATTTTCTTTAAGCAAGATTTGTACTCGGCCCGAAGTTTGGCTTGAATTTGGGCACTCTGGAGCTTGTCTCGAACTTGCATTCCAAGATAGGTGTAGGCCTGATCTTCCACAAGATGCTCAATAACTCCTCCCCCCTGTAACTTGACAGATCCACCATTAACTGCCTTGCCACGTTTCAAATGAAGAGTATTACATTTGTCAAGTCCAAATGTCATGCCAATATTATTAGAAAAGGACTCGACAAGGAGAACCTGTTCTTTCAAATTGGTATCTCCTTTGGCAAGGACCTCGATGTCATCCATGTAAAGAAGATAAGTAAGCGGTGTTGGGGATCTGTGCTGAGGAGGTCCGGGATGGTAACCCTCCTCTCTGTTGAGCAGAAAGCTCAAAGGATTTAGAGACAAACAAAAAAAGCAAAGGACTGAAGGAGCCCCCCTGGAAAATTCCCCTTCTGATTGGAATAGATTCCGAAGTCTGCACCTGCCCTTGCGAGTACATCTCAAGTTGAGTCGACCAGCAACTCATTAAAGACTTGAGTAAATCAAGTAGTCGCTCCCGGGAGGTCAATACAATGAAGAGACTTCAGAATCAATTCATGAGGGACAGAGTCATATGCTTTCTTGTAGTCAATCCAGCACATGGAGAGGTTGCGGTGATATGTTTTAGCCTCTTCCAAAATCATTTCTGTACAAGAAGTTGATCCTTGCACCCCCAACATCCCTTTCTTGCTCCCTTCTGCTCTCTGTACATTATTATTATTATTATTATTATTATTATTATTATTATTATTATTATGTTTTACAGATAAAAGATAGTATGCAGCAGAGATGGTTCGGGTTATTATTATCATTATTATTATTATTATTATTATTATCATCATCATCATCATTGTTGTCGTATAAGGTAACAGAGGTAAAGGGAATATATCTGACAATTAGAATTCTTCAAGTGTTTCTGACAGGGTTGCAAGAAATTGTTATGCATTCCGGGGCCTTTTTCAACCATATGTATGCAACTTTTGTGTGTATATTTCTTTAAATGATTATATATACTGATTTCCTGTGTTGCAGACTGAGAGTACCAAGTTCATCCTTCAATATCTGTGTTCTGTGACTAACCACACATCATTCTGGACTGAGCAGCAAATTTTGGAAGCAAACACAGTTTTAGAGGCTTTTGGTAAGATGGTATTTGCTTAGACTGATGGCAATGTATTCAATATTACATTCTTCTAAGGGGTGGTGGGGTAGCCTTGTCGTAAAAGCGTTTGCTTGTCATGCCAAATACCTTGGTCAATCCCCAGATAGGTACAATGTGTAAAGTCCATTTCTGGTGTCCATCGCCATAATATTGCAGGAATATTAATAAAAGCAGCATGAAACTAAACTCGCTCATACACTCTACTGCATCAAAAAAGGTTTATTGAGAGCTTGTAATAAATCTTGGATTAGTAAGGAATAACAGAACGTTTTTTCACAGAAAAGGAACTTTTAGGAAAGTTTTTTAAAACTTATCCTATCTCACGTCTTGTACTCTCTCTCTCGCTCATGATCGATAGCTGAGTGGCATCAAACTGTAAACAAAGTTTCCATCCTCTCTTATACCATTCGCCAGAACACTCCCCATTGCTCCCATTCCTGCACAGCCTTGAAGCCTGTGAAGCATGCAGAATGCAGCATGCTCTCAGGTTGATCAAGTGACTCTTTTGTCTGATCATTCTCTTTCTTGTCACACACCAGTGGAGACATGCAGTTATTGAAGTTACAATTTTACTCAGTCTTATAACGCCATGGCCAAGCAAGATTCTTCATTTTGAAAACAAAAATATTAAAATATATTATTCAATGCAAGAAAAACCTTTCGATTGCGAATCCTCATTCTGCATGCATTGATTGCATCGGTCTTTGCGGCTGGGAGTCGTGAATTCAATTCTGCCACAATCTTTGTTGATTGTATTGGTTCCACGATATGCACCACTTCAGAGGGCCACGGTTCGCCAATACGAACCAGTTCGGAAGGCCACTTTGATTCGGTGAACCGCATCAGTAGGAGGGCCAGTATGGTTCGGTAAACTGCACCAGTTCGGAGGTTGAGTTTGGTTCGGCAACACGAACCAGTTTGGAAGACCACTTCAGTTTGGAGAACCGCACCAGTTTGGCGGGCCAGTTCGGTTCCGCAAATCACACCAGTTTGGCAGGCCAGGCCGGTTTGGTGAATATCACCAGTTCGGGCAACAGTCCAAACAACAATCAGAATACTGACATTCATCATTTTGTTCCAGGAATTCAAACAAATCATCAAAGGCTCTGCTAAGTTTTTCATCTGCAGGTCTACCCTTCCCTCGAATAGAACGTGGTCTGTTAAAGAATTTCGTATAACATGTATGGTGATACCTGGCTTCGGCAGCCACTAAATCTATGACCCTTGATATCTGTTCAATAACAGCTCGACCCCACACATCACCACGATATTCAGCCATGTCAAGAATGGAATCTTTGGAACTAATCGTTCGAACCTCTTGTCTTTAGGTTTTTTAGTCTCTGAAACTATATCACAATTTTCTCCACAGAACAAGCAATTCATTTTGAAACTGAAAGTTGACTGTGATGATCTTAAGGAAACCGTCTTTCGAAGTGAGGGATTTACAGCTGCTAAAGTAGAAGATTCACGAGTGTGATCTTTATGCAGTTTACATGAACTGAAACTGAAGATATTCCAGATAATTTTGCAGCAATTCCATCTTTGCGCCTTATACTACTTTGCAGTAAGGTAGTTAGACCTCTTGTGATGGTGACAATATCACCAGGAGGTAAACTTTTGCTGCATATGATAAAACACTCTGTTGGATCCATCGTGAAACAAAACTTGTCCGTGGAACTAGCAGGTTGAAATGTGGATATGCTTCAGTATGTCATTGCTAGAGACTCTCTCAAAATTATCTTGAAGAGAAAAGTTGGAAGCATGGATAGAAATGTTGTGAGAAGCACATGCAATTGATTTCTCACAAACCATCAAATCAAATTGGTCCATCAAACTAAGAACTTTTGGGATAAATGTTTGAAATGGATAGACCAGTGTGGTCATGTATGCAATATGAAGCTAAGTGCTGGACGTATACTATTTAGAGTTCAAGAAAACATAATAACAGACAAGGTTTTTGATTTCATTTTGCTTTTCGCAATTCTTTTTATTTACAAATGCAAATTTCAAAATTCAAAACTTATTTTTAGTAGATTTGTAAAGGAAATAAACATTAGGTACAAACAGAAAAGGACATAGCTTTTAGAAACATGATAAGTTCTACCAGGCTTGGATGTTGTATCATATACTTTTTGCATCATTGGAGCAGCAATAAGCAAGATCATAGAATTTATATTTAACATGTGATACGAGGCCAGCAGATTTTTATCCAGTTGTGTATGAATGAGGTGTGTGAGTGAGTGTTTGTCCTAATGGACAAAAACACTTCTTCCTCTGTACATCATCTAAAAACCCATGGAACACCAGCGCCTTGAGCATGCACTAGCGCGTGGATATGTGCGCTATATAAATATCCTATAATAAAAAAAAATAATAATAACTCATTATTTACATGTCCATCATGCTGTGGGACTCACATTGCCCTGTGTGTGAGCTATCTCATATGCAACAGGGAAGGAGGAAATAAAATATGTGAAACAAAAAACCCATAGATATCTGTTGTTTGTTTTTTATAAGAAGTCTGATGTGTTGATATGGTACAAGGATTACTGTTCTTCTTTTGCATGAAATTGAAACTCTTTTTAATCCAGTTGTTTGTTCTAACAAGATAACGGCAGATGATATCGTGACGACATTTCTTTCTGTTTCAGGGAATGCAAAAACTGTTAGAAATGACAACTCTAGTCGTTTCGGAAAATTCATGCAGGTGTGTTTTGATCAGCATTGTCAAATAAAAGGGTGCATAGTACAAGATTATCTTTTGGAACAGTCAAGGATCACATTCCAGTCTCTGAATGAGCGCAACTACCATGTCTTCTACCAGTTAGTTGCAGGAGCACAAGCAAGTTCTGAGGTAGCACAGCAGTTCCAGCTTTGCCCACCACAGTCTTATGCATATCTGAACCAGAGTGGATGCTTTACCCTGCCAGGAGTAGATGATTCCACCATGTTTGATAACTTGCGCCTTGCTATGAATGTTCTTAACATTCCAACAAAAATGGTAAATGGGATTTTTTCAGTACTGTCAGCCATTTTACTACTTGGAAATTTATCATTTGAGGATGATGAAGGTGAAAAAACTGTCTTGACTGAAACAGATAACAACATTTTGACCGCTGTTTGCAATCTGTTGGGATTTGAAATGGATGGTTTGAGAGATGCAGCATTATATCGGCAAATCCAAGTCCGTGGCACAGTTACAAGCATACCCTTCAAGTTTCAAGAGGTAATTAATACTGTCTATATTTTTTCAGACTAATTTTTATATAGTGGGTAAATAATTCATAATGTTGTTGCTGGTCAGTTCTACTTTGAATTGCTTCTCAATTTCAGTAAGTTAAAAGTGTCATTGAAGCTGCTCACTACCACTACACATTATTTTGCCTTCTAAGATGCCTAGTGGTTAGAACAATTGAAAAAAACAAACATTATCAGACAATAAAGGTATAGTTTTTTGATGACGTAACAATTGAATGACGTTATCCCGCCACTCGCGCCATTCTAGTGTGCCCCTCAGAATCGAAACCATTTTACATTACGTCACAATGTAAGCGGCGATGCCACGATGCATGTCAGTTGTCATCGCCGCATTGCAGCCTCCTACAGTAAACTACACCGTTGCATCCAGTTTCTTGGTTTGCTGTTGCTTCACGCAGCTAACATCACTGGTGGAAACATTACGTTTATGTTTTACGACGGTTTAAATGTGTCATTTCGACTCACAAGTTTTCAGCGACACGGTAACGTTCGTAATGTTTACATTCCCACAATGCAATTGTGGAATGTCGCTTGACTACTCAACTTCCTCTGGATGTACTGATCTAAACTTAAGCTGGTAGTAGAAATGCAACGTTCATATTGCCCCATATGGTTTACGTTAATGACAGATGTAATTAAAATAATTCAGAGAAGATATTTAAACCGAACGTAAACCGCCATCAAACTGTTATCACTCGTGCTTTAACTATAATAGTTCAGGACAAAAGTGTGTTTTATTACACTATGCATGGTGGTAGAGTTTTAAATGTATTTCTTAATTAAATCCTGATACATATAAAGTAACAAAATATACTTGCAAGTCAGTTTTAAGGAGGTAAACATTCATGGAAGGGAATGTCTTTTAAGAAACTTAATGATAACAACTTTGATAAATAATTATTAATCTGTGCAATTCTCATTTTATACATCTGTACAACAGGAAGATAGTTACAAGGGACAATGTTAGTTGAGCACAATATGGGTAGATTTCAGATCTTTCTTTTTATTTTCCAGGCAATTGAGAACAGACATGCAATGGCAAAAGCATTGTATTCGCGCACATTTGCATGGTTGGTTGATGCAATCAACAAGTGTACAAACCCTGGATCAAGTCAGACACACTTCATTGGGATTTTGGACATATTTGGTTTTGAAAACTTCCAGGTAATTCCACTTATATAGCATGACTTCAATGGAGGCTCCTGCTGATGCTTAGTTTATTCAGAGACCATATACCATATATCGGTATATGGTCTCTGGTTTATTGTTTCCAACCAAGTTCCTAGCTTATAAACTGGTTTCCATGAAACTGAAACTGTTGTGCCGGCCCCTTACCCGCTCCTTCAGAAAAGAGGTTGTGTTTCATGCAACACACATACCAAATCAGGTATTTTATACAATTGCACAATGGTAAAACCGTCAGGATGACAAATAACAGAATAAAATACAAAGTCATGATAGGTTTATTTACATTTAACAATTTACTGATAAACAAATGATATTTGGAATGTTCACATTAATAAAAACTGAATTTTCAAAATGCATAAATAATTAAAAGCAATAAGGGAATAAATAGCAGTGAGTATGGAATGTTTTCCTAAACTCATCAATGTAGATGAATCCATATCATTTGGTTTTCCAATTTGAGAAATGTTAACTCTTTCCCCAAGAGAGGAAGAACTTTCTGCTTCTTCTCCGGCCAGTCAATCGTTGTCAGGACCTTCTTCCTGCTTTCCAGCTTCTGAAAGTTAGAAAACAATAAACAATCAGTACAAACAAGCATCCGACAACAATATCGCTAGCTGGAGAAAGGAAAACTGTCCAATGTTCCTTAAGCTTGAGGAAAAATAAACTGTAACCACTGTCCAATAAGCACGAAGTTCAATAAATCAAAACTGATTATTTGACCTCAAAGTGATAAAAGTTTCAATCGCAGAAGAACTTAGTGAAATTTGTAAGAGTAGAGAGACAAGCGAAAGAAGGACATATTTCCTTAGCTTGGGTTGGACATTTGGTGACTGGCAAAAAAAGATTTTCTTTCACTAAATAACAGTTGTGACTTATAGAAAACATTGACATTGAATTAATAACATCTCTTAGGAATGCACACTAAATTCATACTATCATTGCCTATTTTTCCGAGAAATTCTCAGGTGAAAGCTATAACTCATTTTCTGAATGTTACATACATTATGCTTTGATATTATATGTATAAAACTACGAATTATCCATTATTTTGAAAATAATGTGATAAGAAATTTTTGGGTTTAAAAATAATGTGGGGTCATTCTGGCAGACAAGAAATTGAATGGGGTCATAGGTGGACCTCCATAACTATTATCACATACTGCTATTGACAATGTGTTTGCAGCTACCATTTAGTGGGGTGTTGTTAATAAATTGTTAATTGATGTGTGCAAGGTGAAATATGTCCAGACCAAAACATAATGTACATTGACGCTTTACTATGTACTATTTAAAACTCTTTTAGCTGCATATTTCTAATTATACATTGCACGTATTAAACAGTGTTTATTTTGAAAGTTCTTTGGAATATCAGTGTACATTTTCAAGAAATTACATTAACTTGATTTTTTTTCAAATTAGGTTTTCCTTAAATTTTAACCTGTGTAACATTAGAATTGAGAACGATTAGAATTTACTAACACATGGGAATCTTTTGTTCTTTGCGGACAAAGGCCTCTGCTTTCCCACTTCTAGGTGAACGAACCCTCTTGTTCGTCCAAAACCGCCAAACTGCTTCTGAAAGGAGATGTGTATAAGTGGACAATATTTCCAATTGGAAGTTACGAGAATAGTGGTTGTGTAATTTTTATGTATTTTTCTGATTCATAGGATTTACATTATTTGAATAATTTTATGTACATCATTTACTGAAGGGTTTGGATTACACATACCTGTTGCAGGTCAAGATCAGTTAGTCGTCTTCAGTTTTTCCAACACTGCCCCAATGGAATACTGGAAATGTACAAATTAAGGGGGAAATCAGGAACTTTCTAAGTGATATTGTACTTTTGATAACAATAAGGCATGAAAATAGAAGAATAAATATCGAATTTTTCCGTATCCTGACTCATGCTTATTGCTTGCTTGTCTCCCCTTTCCTTCCGAATGCTAGTGGAACACTTGAATCCCCTTTGAAGCTCCTTCAAAAAAGCGGTGGACGAAAATCACTTACCAGGAGTCACCTCCCTTGCCAGGTTTTGGCGGGAACAGCGCCACCCATCTGCCATGCTCTTCACTCTCTCCTGATTCGCCCGAGTGGGCGGTTGTGAGAGCACCTGGTCCCCTATACGGCTTTATATCCTTTTATTATTTAGGCTTTTCTTCTAAATTAGCTGTATAAGGCTTTAGCTAACATTTACCTACAATATTGTACGGAATTAATTCTCAAATTTCTCCGTTTTTGTCACGTTTTTACATGATTAATCACATTGTTTACAATTGATGTAATCTTGTTCTGATTGTAGGTATCGTTTGTCTGCTGTTGATCCGCATAACCTATGTCTTAATTGCAAGCTTATATATTTATCTGACACTCGTTGTCAGTTGTGTTTTCACCTGTCTGATATTGCATTTTACAAATATTCATATTATCTGTCTAGGCGTGCAAAGGACAGGTCCAGACGAGATTTACACCACTTTACATGTCTAAACCGCTAAGCTTGCAGAGGACCGGCAGTTGGTGTTCGCGCAGATACACCATTCCAGTGGTCTACCGGGTCGTCTACAGAGGAGGTTGCCGCCTTAGACAACGCTGGCTCGAGGAAGAGGTCATCTACATCTGAGACACCCTCTTCGCAGTCTAAGAAGACTAGGGCATCGTTTTCCCAGAGGAAGAAGGCAGCTACAGCTAAGACTTCGGCGAAGTCTCCACACTGGGCAACGCAGAAGACGAGATCTTTTTCAGCTGAGATCGTCCCTCTGGAAGAAATAGATGTCTACGATGAGCCACCCATCCTCATCCCAGAGATCACATCTAAGAAGAAGACGAAGACGTCTTCTACAGTGACCACGCAGGACACCCTATCAACGCAGACATTTGGCACGAAGGTTCTACACCCTTCGGAAGAAGCCTCATCCATCTCAGATGCATCGTCAGTACAACAGACAACGCAGACCTTCAACCCGGGCGCCTTTATGCAGCAATTTACCAAACAGATGTTGGATCTGATGGATCAACGGTTCGCACGGGAGAGAGCTGCAACGAAGACGACGTCTGCGACGAACCCGAGTGAAGGTCATCTGAGCAGCACACCACGTCCGTTGGGAACCAACGTCCTGCAGAGCATACAGGAAGATTCCAGCTCGCTACAGCTGCTCGTTACGCCGTAATACCTGGCAGCCATATCAACGCGGACTCGCACCAACCACGCTCGACGGAAGGACCAGACGTTCGCCGAACCCACGCAGATCTTCATCGACGTCAGATACGGACGTTCGTCACGAACCTGCATGCAACGGTTCGTTACCAAGGAGAAGAGAATCAACATCAGTATGAAGGCATAGAGATTCGTCACAAGACTCCAACCCTCGACAAAGCCGTTCACCAACATGCAGGTTCGCGCGAAGGCACGCACGGTCGTCCCTATCTCCACGCGGGTCCCCACGTAGGATATCACGAACGTATGGTTCGCCACGCAGGTCGCCACGCAGGTCACCACACAGATCTTCTTACAGATCACCTTACAGATCTCCTCGTTCAGACGACAATAGAAGACATCCATCCTCAGAACAGGAAGATGACGGCGGAATTATATTTTCCGACTCAGAAATCAAGTCATAGATGGCCAACGGTTTGGAACTCGCATCACCCTCTAAGGAGACCAACGAAACACTATCATACTTGATGGTGAATGATGATATAGACTCACTCACGATGCCACCTATCGTCCCAGTCTTAGACGTTCCAGACAACCTCAGCACAGCCTTCAAGAAGGCAACTAAATACCAGACTCAGAGTATTCCGTCGTTCAACGCTAAGAAGTTCTCTCTACACCACATGGAACCCTTCATGAAGGCCCCAGAGATAGATGAGAATTATAAGATCATCAACAACACTCGGACTAAAGCTTACAAGATAGAAGATAAAAAACTGGCACAGTTAGACACAGTAACCAGACGAACCTTCTTCGGCCTAGCCAGGTCAAGAGCTGTCAACGAGACTCTCATCTCGAAGTTTAAGAATTCAACTTCAGAGGAAGATAGAATGATTTATTCAGCTCTACTTACACAGAAAAAGGATCATCAGTTCATGTCTGAACACCTATCATCCATTTCTGCAGGCTTAACATTATCAAGAAGGCAAGGACTATTATCTTCCTGTACTTGGAGTGAGAAGTTTACCAAGACACTCTACATGTCCCTTGGTCAGCACCATCCATTTTTGCAGGAGAAATTGATGAAGTCGCCAAGGAAGTCGCTAAAGATTCCCGAGAAGTAATGATGATCAAGTCTATCGATACACTGGCCAGTGTAATACGTCAGACCTCCCAACGTTATTCCGGCAAATCGAAGTTTGCAGGCATCCAAAGAGCAAGGGATAAGAAATCAGGCAACGCTAAAGGAAATAAGGATTCTTTTCGTCACCCATCCGCAGCTCCAAGAGGTAGCTACGGAAGAGGTCGGCCCTTTCCAGACGATGAAAGTTCCATACGATGAAAAACAGGTTCGGAACGACTGGAGTCTTCCACCCCCAGCTGTTCCAGTACACCCCTCACAAGTGGGTGGACATCTGCAACTCAGATTCTACGCACAGGTTACAGGATACAGCTACAAGCAGTACCACCAGTAACAATCAACCCTATGGTTCACAACTACGCTGCAGACCAGAAGGGAAATCTACTAGCAGCCATCACATCTCTACTAGAGAAAGAGGCAATAGAAGAGATAAAACACTGCGTCACACCAGGTTTCTACTCCCCAAATTTTCTGGTACCAAAGAAAAATTCAAAAGAAAAGTTCCGACTCATTTACAACATGAGGAAATTCAACAAAGATTACCTCCTACCACCCGCAAAGTTCAAGATGATACATCTTTCACAGCTACGACAGCTCATACGTCCGCTAGACTATCTCGCCAGCATAGATTTACAGGATGCATACTTACACATCCCGATCCATCAGGAATCAAGGAAATATCT